AAAAAAAGGTGTACTCAGTGCCCATATAATTTCAAAGCAGTCAGGTGATTTAACTTTTTTAAAAAGTTCATTCAGTGGAGAGGAAATTAATTACTCCCATGGTCAGTACCCGTAGCACCTTATAACCTGAAAAAAAATTATCTTGAAAAATATCCTTACTTCAGCTGGCTTCACCACCCTAAAGACATAACTTGGGAAAGGTTGAGGCATTTGGCATGGAGCCTTCTGAGGGGGATGGCGGTGAGTTGTAGTTGACAGACACCGGGACGAGTTCAGTCAGGCTTGTGGACTAGGCTGCTGGACCACCAGCCTGGCTCCAGACAAGGGCTGATGCCTTTTATGGGAGGACACTGATGTGTACGTGTATGGAAGCCACATCTTAACATCCAAATGGCGCTGTCCAAAATGGTAAGCCATGAGCCAGTCGTTGAACCCCGGAAACATGGGAGTCCCAAAACACATGCCGTAAATGTAAAATGCACACCAACTTTATAAGGCATAGTATTTGGAAAGGGTTGCAAAATATCTCATTAGTAACGTTTATTTTGATTACACGTTAAAATGATAATATTCATGACATGTTTTGAAAATTATAGTGTCAAAATTAAATTTAATTTCAAAATTAGAACATTTTGAACATGAATTTCACCTGGTTCTTTTTACTTTGTAACACGACTGCTAAAATTGTTAAATTGACCCAGGTGGCTCACATATTCCTGGGCAGTGCTGACCCACGCCATCCGAGCCTGCCCTATGTCTTTAGCTTTGTGCATGGGCTGCCATAGAAATATCCATTTTTGTTAGCGGTGTTTGCATTTCTTTTCCTATCATGTGAGGAGCCATCTTGGAACATGTCCCTGGACCCCCTCTTCAGTTAGTTTGGCTTCAGCATTTGGAAGGGTGGGAAGACCAGCTCGACAGGGCTGTGGTTTAGAGTGCTTCAGAATCAGGTCTCCGTCAGGCACGCAGGAACTGCAGCGTTCCGCTTTGCTTTTCAGTCCTTTAACTGAGTTGAAAATTTCTTCATTTGTAGGTTTTCCGCAACGTGGCAGAGAAACAGAGAGAACCAAGTAAGTACCCCATAGACTGTGCGGTGGGTAAATTAGGTATCATGCAGCAGAGCCAGAACAGGCCTGATGAGGGCCACCTCTTCCTTGGGGACCATGTGTATCTATCACTTGTCTTGAATGGTAGTAAGTGACATCCGCGCTGGGCTCAGCAGTTTCCGGGTGTCACCTCCTCCCGCCCTCGCAGTGGGCCTTGCACGGGGGTATCATGACCACTTGCTCAGAGACAGTGACTATGAGAAGTCAGGGCCCATTGCTAAGACGTCGTCGAGCTGGGTCAAATCAGGGTCTTCAGACTCGGAGGGTTAATACTGTTAGCCTCCTTCTCCTGTCCCCAGAGAACTGGACCAAGGATTGGGTTCACTTTGGGAGCCAGGATCAGAGCTGGACCTGTATCACAAGCCAAAGCTAGGTCCACACAGTCAACAGCAGCAACATGGCTAAACTCCCCTATGGAGGCTCCAGAAGGACCCCAGTCCCCCGCCAGGTCCTTGGCAGTCGGGAGGCAGGAGCCCAGGAGCTGGGCTTTAGGGGGTGTTGGGAAGAGTAAAGGGGCTCAGGGCTGTGAGGCAGGATAGGGAGTGACGAGTCATCCTCTTTGGGACAGCAAATGTCGGTGAGAAGAGGGAGCTAGGGCTGGACTGGCAGGCTGGGCCAAGCCAAGATACCGAGAGAGTTGCCAAGAGGTCTGTGTCGTTTTTTTCTGGGAAACCACTGAGGGTTTCTGAGCAGAGCTATGTGCCAGACAGGGCGTAGGGGGCGTTAGTAGACAAGAGGCTGGAGATGGGGACACTGCTGCTGGACAAATGGAAGAGTGCAGCCAAGCAGAGAAAGCCTGAGTCATGGTCGCCCTGGCAGGGCTGCCATGGGGGGCTGGGTGCGGGAGGAGGTATGGCAGTCATAGTGCTGAACATTCCAGCTAAGCAGGCAGGCTGCCTGGGCCGGGGGTGCGAGTTCCCTGCCAGCTCATCTCTCCCGGGCCTTGGACAAGTCACTTCAACCCTCGTTCCTCAGTTGTCTTCTGTGGAAGAAGGGCGTAACTAGAGTAGAGGAATAGTAGTGTGGGTGATAACATAGAAATAGCAGCATGCACAAACATGTTAATAAAAATACAATGCTTAGCAGAGTGACTGGCTTGGAGGGGAGCTTAATCAATGTTACCATGCTAGGATGGTTGTGAATATTATTATTATCCAGGAAAGAAGCCAGAAGTGGCAGGGATTCTGACGCTTGGTGCCCAGGCAGGGCTCTGGGTTGGGAAGCCGGGTCTGTGCTGTGACACGCTGAGTGTGGGGTTCTGGTGCTTTACACGGGTCCCGAGGTCTGGTGCACAATTGCTGAAGTGGCTTCCGGGGCTGCGGCTGGAGCTCCAGCCTGGGGTGCACCTTCATTAGTAACCGATGCCCTGAGCATCTGAGGTCACCAAGAAAGCAAAGTCCTTGGGTGACAGGCTGAGTGGAGGGGCTGGGCTGGGCCGAGTCAGGGGGGAGAGCCAGATTGTCCCCTGCTAGAGACCCTCAGGGTGGCGGCTGCATATTAAGGGTGAGGAGAGGCTCGGGGATGGTGGGTGGGCGAGACCTTTGGCTTTATTGAGTGAGTTGCTGATTTTCGAGAACGCCCCGGGGTCAGCGGTAAGAGTGGGAATGAGGAAGGGCCGCTGTGCAGCAGGGAGCACCTGCCTGCCACGGGGCCCTTGGGCTCAGAAGGTCCCTTTCCCCCCAGCTGCTGGGTGGGACATACCCAGGTTACCAGGGAGGCCGGCTGGGCGGGAGGCCTGGGGCAGCTCTGGGAGCCTCCCAGCAAGGCTGTGAGGGGTTGATGGGCCAGGAGGCCATGCGGAGGGGGCTGGAGAGAGGGTGAGCAGTGGTCGGTGAGGTGAGGAACAGGTGTGCCAGCAGGGAAGCGGGGAGAGAGAGCACAAGGGCTGTGGTCAGAGGTGGGGATTACCAGTTGGTAGCAGTGAGCACGACTGCGGGGAGGGCGAGATTCTGGGCCGGCCTCTGCGGAGACCCTGCTGGTGACAGCGGACGGGCGGCCATCGGAACAGGACTGCCGCCGTCATGCAGGGGAGGCCGTGAGCCAGGGCCGCTGGGAGAGGTGACGGAGTATCCCAGAGCTCGTGCCCTCGCCGGCTGCTCTCCCCATTCAGCACGCTTTCACGGCGGTGCCTCTGTGCCAGCAAGGTGAGGCTCTGTGTTCGCTGACAGCTTGAGATCATGTGCCCAGGGGGGCCTCCACTGTGTGGGGTTCAGAGAAGGGGTATGCTAGGGCTCCCCCCTCGAGCAGCTTGTGGGCACACAGGAGAGAGGGGATGAGTACATAAACAGACGGGCTGAGGCCCCGGGCAATGGGCCAGCACGTGTGGGAGGGATGGTCTGGGCTGGGCAGCCACCCGAGGGGAGGCGAAGAGGCCAGAATCATCACGAAGGCTCTGAGGGGAGTGGGATGCGAGCTAGATCTTCGGAGCAGGGTGGAGTGGAGAAGGCATTCCAGCTGGGGAGGCAGCAGGGGCAAAGACATGGAGGGGAGCTAGACCCTTGTGGTTTATTTGACCGAGAGATTGGTCTGCTTAGCATCAAGCTGAGTAGGTGGCAAAAGAGTGAAGTCAGAAGCATTAAGCTGGAGCAGTATGAGAATAGGGAGCCATCGTAGGCTCTTGAGCAGGAGAGCTCTGCGAAGCAAGAGAAGCACTGCTTTGGGATAATGAGTCTTGGAAGGTGAAAGTGACATCTGAGGGTGACATCCTGGGGAGAGACCTGGGTAGCCTGGAGCTGGGTGTGGGAGTTCACTCACAGCTCTTGGTGTATTTTTGTTTACTGTTCAGATTTTGTACTTTGTATATTTACAACCAACTTAATACTAATTTTTACATTTAAAGAGGCCACTATGGCCACAGTGGGACTTCCTTAAACTCAATTAGTAGTTACATATATGGCGGAGTGGGGAGGATTGGAAGAGTAGTGGGGGAGGGGACAAGCATAACCAGGAACAAAGGCCAAATTTTCACATTTCTTTGAGGACAGTGTCTGAAAGAGCTAGACCCACTTAGAATATGTCCAAGGGCGGCCAAGCACATTTCAGAGAGCTGAGAGAAAAATGGACATCATACCACACTTTTCAGCCAGACAGTTCAATGTCGACAATTTCCAGGAGGGCTGGTCATCTCTATTTTTGTGTGAACGCCTGGAAGACAGGTCACAGAGTCACCCAAGCTAAAAAGGGAGCCAAGAGCCCTGTTTCTCTGGGAAGAAAGATCTGTAGTCTGTGGGGGTGTCTCAGCCTGAAGGGGAGCTGGGGAGGCAGGAGGAGCAACACATGTGGGCGTGGGTGAGGAGTGCGGCCACCCAGCCCTGCCCCTGCTCTGGGGAGTGCTGTGCCTGCCGGGACACGTTTGGGAAGCGCCTCTCACTTCATCCCCCTCAAAAATTTACAGCACCCATTTTTGGGTTCTATTAGATTCTTTTTTAAAAAAAATTTTTTTATTTTTAAGATTTACTTATTTATTTATTTGAGAGAGAGAACAAGCAGAAGGGAGAGGCAGAGGGAGAGGGAGAAGCAGGCTCCAGGCAGGGAGCGGAAACCGTCCCCATGAGCCACATGTGGCCAGGAGCAGATAACCCCCAGAAGGAGCGACAGCTCACATAACAGTGCTTAAGGTCTCAGCTTTGTTCTTCGGAGGTTTCAGTGATGCTCAAAGACTGGGTCGGTTTGAGGAAACGGGACTGAACGTGAGTGCCTCGCACTGAAGGTGCTACTTCCAGTGGGCCTCCAGCTACTGTCCCAGAAGGGCTCAAGACCCACCTCCCTCCATCTCTGCGCCCTGGAGCCCTTGGCTTTGATGGCTTCGTTGTAAAAGGTCTACTCCCAGTAGAATAGGAGGGTAACTTGGTCTGCATTTTACAAGTTACTAACAGAAAATCTTTTTTCTTATAGCCCCAGTTGACCGGTACTTCAAGATGATCAAATGTGTAGTAACTAAGTTATTTAAATAATGGAATCAAAAGCCATCTGATTTGCCGTTCAAGTATTCTGTCATCTTCAAGGACATTTTGGAAGGCAGCTATGCTCACCACTATACCACCAACGCTCTTCAAGGACATTTTGGAACTCTAATCTGAAGTGACCCTCCACTAGAAGAGTCTTTTTTTAGAAGAAATATCAACTATTAACCAGAACTAGTATCTACCCTATCCCTGCTCTGGTCTCCAACTAGATACTGTAAATGGTTTTTGATTCTCAGTTTCTTACTGCCAATTTTCTATCAGATATACACGTGTAAATATGTAAGTATATCCTAAATGGTAGGTGGTTTGGCTTTATTTTTTCCTCTTAGGTCAGAAAACTATTCTGAGTCATCTACCTCAGGAGGTGAAGGCTTTTTACTTAGATCCGTCCTCCTCTTCTCTTTTGTCTTAGAGGGAAAAGAATTCATTGCAGGATGGGTAGTGGAGTGAGGAGGAGATGGACAAAACACGTTCCGTGTGCTGGGTTCGTGGCTCTTGACAGGAGGCGGGAACACACGGGTCTTCTGTTTACTTCGCTAAGACCAGATTGCCGCCGTCTTCACACAGGGGAACTTGTCACATGAAGGTCTCTTAACGCACTCAGTGTCTGGTGTTAGCTGTCACACGGGCAGGGAAACAGCAGAGAACTCTTAAAAACTCTGAAGTCCTATACAAATGCAGAACAACAGCCTCTCCTGAATGAGGAAGCAGACGGCGCTGGCTATCCCTCGTGTTGCCATCATACATACCAACGTCCAAGGCCCTTAGCTCCTGAACCCACACTACCCCTGGAGCTCCTGTCACATGAGAGTCTTTAGCCTGAAAGAGGAAACACCGCTTTATCACACCAAGGCAAAGCGTGCTGAAAGGAGCCCCATGAGACTGCTCTCTCTGGCCCCCTCACAGTTATCAGCAAGAATAAGGCGGGGGCCTGGGATCCCCGAGTACTCTTGGGAAGAGCCCTACTTCCCCCTGCTCCTTCACCTCTGGGCAGCAAAGCTTCCTATCAATGTGTGTGTCTGGCTCGTCTTGTGAAACCCTTTTATTTCGGGCCCTGTGGGGAGCCTGGGACTCCCAGACCTTCCTTCCCCTTCCAGACCTTCATCTCCAGATGCTCTGTAAAGCCGTTTCTGACCCCTTCATCAGCAGCAAGATTCCTAGGATTCTCTGCTATGAATGTTCCCTCCACCTTTCTGTTCTCACCGGAACCCGACTCTCCCTGAGGCTGCTGCTTCCCGATGCCCTCTCAAGGGCCAGCTGCTTCCTCTCTTGGACTCCTTGGGCACTGGGCAAGAAGGAGGCCTGGCATCCTCTTGGCTCCTCTCTGCTTCCAGCCCATGCCTCCTTCCTCAGTTCCGATGGGCAGACCAGCAGATCACCACCACCAGACATTCCCTTTTCTAGCATCTTCGCTGTTCCTCAACCTGTGAAGATTTTAGCGCTAAGCCCAGATCACTCTCCTAATGCGCCTCCCTTCCGAATCTGAGTGTGCTTTCAGAACCCCAGATCCAGTGCCCTGGCATGGTCTGCCCCAAGTATCTTGCTCCCTGTCCCTTCCCAGCAGCCACTGCCCTGGTCTTATCCCTGACCTTCCACCAGCAATGCCTGCAGCCCCTCACAGTCCCTGTTACAAGTGTCCCTGCTCCTCTCTCCATCTTACACATCTCTCCCTGAGGGCCCTGCTCCACAGACCCCCACTGGCCCCCACTGGCCTGTTGCTGCAGCGGCCTCTTGTTCCCGGAGCCACGCTGGGTTTTCATGTTCATCGTGAGAGTGACTCCTCTACCTTTACTCTTTTACTCTCCCACTTGTCCTCATTTGGCCAGATCCTAACGAGGTGGGCAGAGTCACCTCTGCTGGTTCCCTCCCCACACCCGAGCTGCCGAGCACCGCTTCAGGCAAAGACAGCCCTGGGCTGAGTAGGGTCATCTTGGGCTGCAGACCCCCCGGGGGCATGCATTGGTCTCAGATGGCCTTGCAGCATTGCCCAGGTCTGCTTAATCTCTCTTCTCCTCTCTTCCTAGACCTGTAGCCCTGTGTCCGCATGCTCGGCTGCTCGCCTCACTTCCTCTGTCACCGAAACAAAAGCATCCAGAAAAACGTCCCACCACGTATCTGCACACCCTGCTGCATTGGCAGCCGTGTCTTTTGCTTCTCCTCCTGTGACTGTTTGAACACTCCTTGCTCCTTCTGAACCCAGTCTCCCCCACCTATTCTTTGTCTGCTGGGGCCACCATAACAAAATACCAGTGACTTAAAAAACAATTTAGACTGGGCAACTTAAAAAACAGAAATTTATTTTCTCACGGTTCTAGAGGCTAGAAAGTCCAAGATCAAGGTGCCGGCTGGTTTGGTTCCCGGTGAGGGCGCTCTTCCTGGTTTGCAGGTGGCTGCCTTCTTGCTGCGTCCTCTCATGGCTGGGAAAGAGCCCTGGTGTCCCTTCTCTTCTTCTGAGGGCACCAGCTCTATCAGAGCAGGTTTCCCTCTCCTGACCTTATATAACCTTTGTCGCCTCCTCACTGTTCTGTCTCCAAATAGAGTCACCCGGGGTTTAGGGTCTCAATATATGAGTCTTAGGACAAAATGTTCCTTCTATAATGCTGCTTCTGTGTGGGATCCCACCCGCCCTCATCTACTTAAGGAGATCACTCCTTGGCTGTCTCCCACATCATCAGCATTCACCTTTCTGCTGCGCCACACAAACAGAATGTCATTTCCCATATCTTCAAAAAACCAAAATACCCTTGATTCACTCCCCCAACTGGCCCTTGTCTCAATTTTCCACTATCTTTAATGGAAAATTTTCTCAAAAGAAATGATCTGTACTTCCTTTTCTCTGACTCCTCCCCTCCTTTCTTGAACCTACTTCTATTAGGCTGTGGTCCCCTCAACCTTGTCAAGGTTACCAGGGACACCCCCCACCCCGCCCACCTAGGATCTGGTGGGCAGCTCTCCAGCTTCATCTTGCCGTGTCTGTAAGCAACATTTGACTCCCACATAGTTAGTACTGTAGGTGCCCGGTTCTGTGGGGTATACGAGAGGAAAGCTTGTGATGTGACAGGGCAAACAGATCTGTGAGCACTTGGGGTGAGTGTACGAAGTCCTAAAATGGAAGCCTATACAAAGAACGAAGGAATTACAGCTGTACGATCCGGCTGTTCCACTCCTTGGTATATACCCAAGAGAAATAAAAGCATGTTAACACAAACTTGCGTATGAATGTTCATAGATCATTACTCATAATAGCTAAATAGTGAGAACAAGCCATATGTCCGTCCATGAGGAAAAGATAAATGTGGTCCATTCAGACAATGGGCTGGTAGCCTGTGTAGAGAGTAATGAGGATCTGAGGACGCCTGGGTGGCTCAGAAGGTTAAGCAAGTGTCCGACTCTTGATTTCAGATCAGGTCATGAGTTCAAGCCCCAGGTTGGGCTCCCTGCTGGGTAAGGAGCCTACTTTAAAAAAAAAAAAAAAAAAAGTACCAGGGTCTGATACATGCTACACCATGGGTGAGCCTTGAAAACATGCTCAGGGAGAGAAGCCAATCCAAAGAGACTGTATGATTTCATCAGTGCAAAATGTCCAGAATAGGTACATCTCTAGAGCTAAAAAGTGGATTTCTAGTGGCCCAGGGCTGGAAGGAGGATGCAGGATCAGGGGAAGGAGGGACTGCTAATGAGGGCATGGTTTCTTTTTGGGGTGATGACAATGTTCTAATATTGTAGTAATTGTATAACTGTTGGACTAAAACCATCAAATTGTACACTTCAAATGAGTGGCTTGTGCTGTGTGTGAATTATGTCCTGATAAAGCCATTATTATAACAAAAAGAACTAAGCTATTAGTTCAAGGTGGGGGTCCCCCTCCCCAGATCCGGCCTTCCCCATCAGCTGGCTCAGCCCTGGCTCAGCCCTGGAGGCCAATGGGAGATGTAGGCAACTTCCCTAATCTCAGGATCCCAACTACAATTTTCCCCACTCTGCCTGGAGCTGAAAATTACCAGAGGACAAAGTAACCTTCCTTTTGGAAGTCAGAGCCCAGAACAATCGTCTAGCTTCAAACACCAGCCAGTGGGTCTATGAAAGTGTCACGAACCAGAGTTCGACTTAGAATCTTGAGACACGGGGGGCGCCTGGGTGGCTCAGTGGGTTAAGTCTCTGCCTTCAGCTCAGGTCATGATCCCAGGGTCCTGGGATTGAGCCCCACATCGGGCTCTCTGCTCGGTGGGGAGCCTGCTTTCCCCCCCTCTCTCTCTGCCTGCCTCTCTGCCTACTTGTGATCTCTGTCTGTCAAATAAATAAAATCTTAAAAAAAAAAAAAATCTTGAGACACGGGCACCTGGGTGGCTCAGTCAGTTAAGCGTCTGCCCTCGGCTCAGGTCATGATCTCAGTTTCCTGGGATGGAGCCCTGCATCAGGGTTTTTGCTCAGCGGGGAGTCAGCTTCTTTCCTTCTCCCCCTGCCCACGACTCACCCTGCTCATGCTTGCTCTCTATCTCAAATAAATAAATTAAATCTTAAAAAAAAAAAAAGTCTTGAGACAGATCATTCCACTGTGTGTCTCCTCCCAGCCACCCTTAGTCATGTTATGCCCAGCAGCCATAGCCCCGCTCATCCATCTTCTCCCACACTCCCATTCCCAGGCCCGCTCCTCCTTCTGGGGTGTCCCCCTGCAGAGCCAGTGGAACCTCCCTTCCACAGTCAGCACTGGGCCCTCCACTCCCTACCCTCAGCCTTGTCTCTGCATTGCTGGTGCTCCTTCCTGAGGCCTCTGGCCCCCCCAGAAGCCCTCCCCTAAGGGACAGGCAGGTGCATTTTCTCTCCGATTCATGCATGAGGAAAGCCACAGGCACTTGTCCAAGCTCAGCCCGTCACAAGTGAAAGAATCAGGGCTCCGATCCAGGCCAGGCACCCCCGAAGGACTCTTCCCCACCAAGCTATACTAAGAGAAGTTAGAGGCATGTGGTCACTCTTCCACGGATAGTTGGGAGACCTCTGAACCCTCAGTTTTACGCCCCCCCACCCTCAACTAAAAGGTCAGATGTGTGTGTCCGTCAGCCTGAGGAAGCACAGCCCTGGCCGCTGGGCCATGTAGTGAGAAGCCTGGCAGTGGCCCAGCAGCCTGCCAGGGCCCGTGTGGCCAGAGCAAGAGTGGCCGGGGATGGCGGAAGTGAGAGTGAAGTGAGCGGATGTGTGGGTTCCCTGGGCAGCCTATGTTAATATCTGACATCTGGGGAGTTTGAGTCCTTCCTCTCTCTCTAGCCTCTTCCTCTTCTTGATCTCTTTTCCTTCTTCAAGGT